AAAAGAGACCAAAAACTCAGAGAACAGAAAAATCACAGACAAAAAGAGTTGGTCTTTTTTGAAAAAATAAAATCCAGCAAAACTTGCATTAACGAGTCAAATACATAAAATGAGAACAAATAGAGAAACTACAACAGACACCTCAGAAATAAAAATGATCACAAAGGGCTGAGGAGATAGCTTGGTGGTCTGAGTGCATGCCTGGCAGGCGCAAGGACCTGGGTTCGATCCTCAGTACCACACGCTGTGCGGCCCTGGAATGAGCACACTGTGCCAGCCACTGAAACTGGGTATGGTGGCACATGCCTATAATCCCAGTGCTAGGGAGGCTGAAACAAGAAGCAAGTCCAAGCCCCATAGCGAAACTACTCTGTACCAAATAAATAAATAATAAGTTTTTAAAAAAATGATCACAAAATAAATCAGACATGCATGTGTTAAGTACCACATTGTTTTTGTGGTTTGAGAAACCAAAAGTATAAATAAAAACCTAAATGTATAACAGATATTGTGAAATAGGAAGAAAATATTTAAACACAGAGGGGGAAAATAAAGGGAAAAGTAAAACTAAAAATGAGAAAAGGAAAACAGAAGCAAAGCTTTTGTAAATGAGGAAAGGAGGAGGGGCTGAAAGGAGGGTGGGGGAATAGAAACAAAATAAGTCATGTAGTGGTACAAATTCTCTATCATGAATGTGATCGTTATGTGCATCTAAAATGTACCAATAAAATCTGATGGGAAGAAAAAAGAGACTATTATCGATAATTATATGTTAACCAAGTTGATAAGCTAAAGTAAAATAATTTCTAAGAAAATACAATCTACCAAGGTTGAATCAGAAAGAAATGGAAAATTTAAACCAATCAATAATAAATAATAATATGGAAGGAATATTTTTAAACCCAATAAGGAAAAGCCAGGAATATAGTAATTTTTAGCTGAATTCTACAAAACTTGCAAAGAATTACTAGTAATACTTCATAACCTCTCTCTAGACAAAGTATTGCCTAACATGTTTTTATTTATTTATTTGGTCCAGGGTCTCCCTGTGCAGCTTGGACTTACAGTGATCCTCCTGTTTCAGCCTCCCTAGCACTGGGATTAGAGGCGTGCCACCACACCTGGCTTTGATGGCTAGCACAGTGCACCCAGGGTTCCGGGGCTGGCACAGCACACGATCCTGGGGGTTACTGGGCCTTGAACCTGGGGGTCCTTGCACTTGCTAGACAGGCGCTCAGACCACCGAGCTATAACCCCAGCCCTCTATAACACATTTTATAAAGCTAGCTTCACCTTGACTTCTAAGACAAAGATACCATAAAAAAGTATAGGCCAAATGTCTCTGATAAAGAATGATGGAAAACTCCTAGGTAAAATATTCAGAAATCAAATGAAACAATCATGAAATGTATCTCATGAGTGAACAGGATTTATCTTTGGCATGCAAGGATAGTTTAACATAAGCAAATCAATCAATGCATTAACACTGAAAAAAAAAAAAATGCAGAGGGAACACTTCAACAAAGTTCACTAACTTTTCTTGATAATAACTGTAACAGTTTAGATACAGAAGGAAAGTTCCTCAGTATACTAAAGGGCATTTATGAAGATGCCTTCAATTAACATCTCAATCAATGAAGAGGAGCCAAAAGCTTTTCCTCTAAGATCTAGTACCAAGGAAAGACATTACTGCTCAGTTCCGTAACACAATACTGAATGTACTATCATAAGCAATCAGGCAAGAAAAGTACACGAATTGAGAAGAAAAAAGTAAAATTATGTCTACAAATGACACAATCCTCTGAAATGGGAATTCCAAAGACTGACAAAACAAGGAATATCATTAAGTCTTAACAAAAAGAGAAAGAGAAGAGAGTGACCCTGCTATTTGGCACACTGGACCTAGTTGGACCTAGAGAACATTATACTAAATGAAGTAAGCCAGGTGGGAAAATACTGTATGATCTTACTAGTATTTGTAATCTTTTAAAAACAACCCAATATGTAGTGGTAAAGAATAAAACAGTAGGGACTGGAGAGATGGCTCAGTGGAATAAGTGCTTCCCTGGCAAGCACAAGGGCCTGAGTTCAATCCCCGGTTCCGCAAAAAAAAAAAAAAAAAAAAAAAAAAAAAAAAAATGCTGAAGAATAAAATAGTAGTTACTAGTGAAAAAGAAACAGAGATGTGTGCTAAAGAATATAAAGTAGCAAATATACAACAGGAACAAATCATAAGACCTAAAGCACAACATGAGGACTATAGTTAGTATACTGTAGTCAAACTTACCTCAGCAAGACAGTACCTGCTACATCACAAAATGGGAAAGTGGGTAACTGTGTGAGATGATGGTATGTTACTTTCTCCCACTACAATAACCATGCAGGTGCCCTTATAACACCATGTTATATACCTTAAATATATATATATACATATATATATATATATATAGTATTTTGAAAATATTTTAAGGGCTGGCCAAATAGCTCAGCGGACTAAAGTGCCTGCAAGCAGGCAGAGGGGCTGGGGGCTCAATTCCCCAGCCTGCCATGTCGGCCCCACCCCCAGGACGCATTGAGACTGTGATTTGCGACTGGGTGTGGTGGCGCACACCTGTACCAGCTCTTGGGAAGCTGTAAACAGGCAGATCAGTAAGAGTCCAGTCTAGTTAGATTGTTTAGTTGAATTCAAACACCTATAGTATTTAGATGCCAATAGAATATTCACCTCTGACAGGACAAAAAATAAAAATAAAAATAAAAAAAGATACAAAGGAAAGATCATTTTGTATTTATATATACAAAATAGGATAAATTTACAGCTGCTTTCGCTTAACTCAATGAGAAGAAAAAGGTGTACTAACAGTATCTGGACAGAATATCCTGTCTGCTTCTTGTACTATGGATAACTACTAAGAAGGTAACAATGTACAGTGTACTGACTATCAAAACTGTCCTATTGGGGCTGGTGAGATGGCTCAGTGGTCTAAAGCACCTACTTAGAACAAGCTTAGCAAAGCACAGGGACCGTGGTTCAATCCCCCAACACCACATGCCAGCCAGCCCGCCCCTGGGTGGGCTGAGCTGGCCACACACACACACACACACACACACACATAAATAAAATTAAAAAAGAAAAAACAACTGTCCTATTAATCAGCTGTGAAACTGTCTCATTCATACTTATTTCTCAATAAAAAAATAAATATATATTTTTAAAAAACTGAAAAAAAAAAGAGTCCAGTCTAGTAGAGAGGCCCTGAACACCCTATAGACCCTTCCCTGAGATACAAAAAAAAAACCTAATTTAAACAAGATCAAAATTAAGACATATGAACACAATGAAAGAAATAAAAATGTGTTTATATAACTTTAATTCTATATAGGATTTTGTTTATAAATTATTATTGTACATTTATATTGTTGGTGTTATGGAAAGAGACAGACTGCCAAATGGAACCTCCAGAGATCAAAGATACAATATCTGAAACAAAATATACACTGGGGGGCTGGTGAGATGGCTCAGTGGTCTAAAGCACCTACTTAGAACAAGCTTAGCATAAGCCCAGGGACCACGGTTCAATCCCCCAGCACCACATGCCAGCCAGCCCACCACCTGGTGGGCTGAGCTGCCCCCCCCATAAATAAATAAATAAAAAAAAAAAAAAAAAAACCTTCTTTGGGGCTGGTGAGATGGCTCAGTGGTCTAAAGCACCTACTTAGAACAAGCTTAGCATAAGCCCAGGGACCACGGTTCAATCCCCCAGCACCACATGCCAGCCAGCCCACCACCTGGTGGGCTGAGCTGCCCCCCCAATAAATAAATAAATTTAAAAATATATATATATACACTGGATGAAATTAAGAGTGATGAGTAATTAGCCATATATAGCCATTAAAAATAGGTGAACAGGAAGACCTAACCAGGACCTGAGTTTATCAGGACATTAGAAGGATGATACACCACGGCCATGTGTGTTTTATCAACTTTCAACATGTGAAAGTCAACGTAATTCACTACATTAGCACAAAAAAGAACCCACAAGATCACGTCACTGATTCAGAAAAAGCACTGACAAAAATCTAATGTACTTTCTTTCTTTTTTTTTTTTTTTTTTTTTGCGGAACTGGGGATTGAACTCAGATCCTTGTGTTTGCCAGTCAAGCGCTTATCCTACTAAGCCATCTCCCTGGCCCCTAATGTACTTTCATAATAAAAACAAAACAAAAAATCCAGTAAACCAGAAACAGAAATTCTTCATGTACAAAAAACCCAGAGCTAACATCATGCTCACAGAGGCAAGACTGAAACTCGCCCCTTACAGAACAAGATAAAAGTGCTCACTGTGGCCACTTCCACTCAACACAGGCCTACCTACAAGTTCTGGCCAGAGCAATTAAATTAGAAAAGAAACATACAAAGTATACAAACTGTAAAGAAGTGAAAATTATGTGTTTAGAGATATTATTGCATGTGTAGAAAATTCTAATTCCACAAAAAACTGTTAAATGAATTTAATGAAGCAGGATATAAAATCAACATGCCCCTCAGTTGTGTTTCTATAAATGAATAATTAACAATCCACAAAACAAAATCATCACATTTACAATAGCATCAATGAGAACGAAACAACCAAGGTGAAAGAGCTTTTTGCTACAAACTATATAACACTGCTACAATTAGAACAATCCAAGAAGTGCAAAGCCACCCCATGTGCAGACTGGAGCCTTAAAATTGTCAGTATGACCTAGAGAGAGCTAGAGATTTATCAAAATCGCAAACATTTTCTTCATAGAAAGAGAAAATTTTGCATTGCTCTAAATGTCACAACAGACTGGAACCGACTGAAATGAATACCTTAAGTGTACTGTTCCAGCCCTCTGAAATAGGACCCCTCGGCTAATCCTCATTTAAGTCAGCGCACTGAGAAGGAAACAAACCTCAAGTTCCTCCTTCCCGTGAGAATGGGTGTGGGTGCGTTCCTACTGCTCGGCTTACTCACCTGAGCCCATGGTCTGTGATCTGGTAGCATCCAGACAGACTGAGAAACAAAAGTCCACGTCCAGTCTCTTGATCAGATTTTTCACTCCCAAAATCAAGGAAGTCCTTTCCGCGAGGCAAGGTAGTCCTTAACGCTCTCCTACACATCTCTGAAGACTCTGGGAGTGCTGACATAGTTCTGAGAGCTGTCCCGGTGCAACAGAACGAATGGCCACAATAAGCGAAGGCTGGGGAAGCACAATGCTGCTGCCAGCAGACACTAGTCCTTAGGCCAACGATATCCTTACTGTAACAACCAGACGAGGAACAACCAAAGTTGGATGCTGTTTCCATTACACAGAGACTTTCAACATTTCTATGCCTCCATTCTACTGCATCTTCAATATCAGCCAAATCTTCAGCATCTAACATCCACACATAGGGAGAAGTAAAACTTTCAGAAGAAATAGGCTTAGTCCAGGTGTGTTCATTATCTATTTCTTCCTCAATGCCTTTGGGAGTTAAGTCACGCAAATGGGAATACTGCTTTGTAGACTGCATGGGAACGTCTCTATTTTTCCATTTAGTTGAAGTAATGCTGCTTGCAGTAGTTTTCGCAAAGTCATTCTGATGAGATGCTAGAATCCCAAGAGCTCTGGAAATCTTCTCTAGAGCCACATCTGTGATCTTCTCACATCCCGACAGATCAAGATGCCGAAGACTCTGGCAGCAACCAAGCCAAGACCAACTACAATCAAGAGGTAACAAGACTACTAGTATATGTTGTTAAATTCTTCAAAAGCATCCAACTACATTTATGTAGATGGATACTAGAAAAACATTTTAAATTGAATAGTTACTCAAACATTTGCTAAACATTTATATTAAAAGGCAGTACTTTTGGTACTGATGATATAAAGAGTGACAGTAATCAGAAATTCACAGTATTGCTCACAGAAGGACAGGATGGGAGAAGAGTGAGGATAAAACTTGCAAATGGTCCTGTACCAAAAAAATATGAAGAATTAGAAGGAACTATACCAAATGGCACTTAACAGGCCAACTGAAACCTTAAAAACATGCATTAATCCATCTGGCTATAAAGCAAGGCCCAAAGACCTAACACAATCAGGACCTAATTATAGGTGGGGCGAAGCTGGGAGTGATGGAACAAGAACAGAAATGGAGGCTACTATCAAGTGACAGCCAAACAAGAAGAGCAGTAAAGAATAACAGTATGCTTAAATTTTAAGGATATAAATGAGAAATGAGAAAATAATTCTACTAATAATTCATTGTAGTTTAAATATTTTAAAATACCGCACCTGTCAAATGCAGAATCGGAAATGTCGGTCTGGGTAAGGTCCAGGTGCTCCAGGTTAGGGCACAGCTCCAAAATCTGCCTCACCTGAGTGGGGGAAACCATCATGAAGACCTGCAGGCCTTTAAGTCAGAGAAGTAACAGGCGCATACTACTAATTATAATCCAATGCTTCTAAAATTTATGTGCATGTTTTAAAAAGTCACTTAAATAGCACATTACAAATATATGTACTTGGGCTCAAATCCCCATAAAGCTATTTTAATAGTTGTGAGGTTACACCTAGAAATTTTTTCCCAATACCAAGGACTGAATGCAGGGCCTTCAGGCAAGCCATTTTGATTTTCCTTATTTTGAGTCACGGTCTTGCTAAGTTGCTCAGGTTGGGCTTGAACTTGCTATCCTCTTACTTCAGCCTCCCCAATGCTAGGATTTTAAACATGCACCAGCTCGACTGGCTGTAAACTAACATATTTAAGAAGTATCTAAAGACACTCAAGTAGGCACAAGATTCACCTTCACAGAACAGTCATTAAGGCAGTACAGGACTAAATACTAGCACTCCGGGAAGCTGAGACAAGAGGAGCCCAAATCTGAGCACAGCCTGAGCAATATAATGACTCATTAAGACCCTGACTTAAAATTTGAAGAAAAAAATATTTAGATGCGCTAGGGATGCAGTTCAGCTATAAGGTCTTGGTTCAATCCCCAGTACTGCAAAAACAAAACAACAGTGATTTTATTTGCTCATCTCACCAGCATCTGAATACAGCATTTAACCTTTTCCAGACTTGGTTACTTCACCCATAACATGTAGGAAATTATATTCATGGAAAAAAAAAAAAATCAAAACTTTTCTAAGAACTAAAATGAGAGTTGGCAGCATAGCCCTATTCCAGGGAAGGTACTCAATATATTTTCCCCTTAAACTCAGCGATAAACAAAGCAAGGCCCAGGGAGATAGCTTAGTGGCTTCAGTACCTGCCCAGCAAGTTCAAGGTCCTGAGTGCAATCCTCATACCAAAATACATAAACAAACAAACAAACCAAAGCTGTATCCCTGCTATTTGTCTTAGTTCCCAAGCTATTATGTACATACCATTTTGCTGGAAACTGCAGAGCTATATGCCAGTACTAAAGTTTTTACAGAAGTTCCAACATACGGCAAAACATTATGAATTAAGCCATGGAGTAAACGTTTTTCCATTTGTGCAATGCTAATAGCAGCTGATTCCTCTGCAGACTCTTCTGTAAAATGAATTCAAAAGTCTAAGAATTCAACATACTAATTACCATTAGGCTACTTAAAGATTCATCAATTGTTAAATATGAAGTATTTTGTGCTGTTCCTAAATTCCTTCTGTAAGCAATTCCAGTTTCAGGTGATAAAATAAATTTCAAATGAACTCTGCATACTTAAATATAGCAAAAGAAAACTGAATGTATGTCAAAAGACAAGAAACATGCTCAAATGTATAATCAGTTATTCTACCTAAGGACACAAAGCTGAACAGATTTGAAAGTAAGCTCACTCAGCCTCAACATAATGAATCAAGCAAGGAAGATATGTAAAAATTATTAAGGAGTTAAAGGCGAGCACGGCCCACACCTATAATCTCAAGGAGATGGCGCAGAGGAATCGAAAGCCTGCACCCAACTTGTGCAATAGATAGGTACTTTCTCAAGGTAAAAAAATTTTTTACAAGAGCAGGGATGTAATTCATCGTGGATGCTTACAATAGGTTGCACTAATGTAAGAACCACCACACAAAATTTATTTCATTATTTTTGTTTTAAAATGCCAGTTTTAGGGGCTGGGGAGATAGCTCAGTAGAATAAGTGCTTGCCTTGCAAGCACAGGGTCCTGAGTTTAATCCGTGGTCCCCCCCAAAAAAAAAAAATTCATTTGACCTAAAATGCCAGTTTTATATAAAGAAAAATATACATTAAAAAGGTAATAATTTTAAATATTTTCTCAAGCTCCTATTGTTATTGCTCTCATTACCTAAAGACCTAACTTGTGTGTCTCTTAAGCAGAAAGCAGTCTAACTAACAAGGCCGGCCAGATGGTTCAGCAGATTAAAGCACTTGCACAGGCAGAGGCAAGGACCAGAGTTTGAGCCCTGTGGTGCCCGCTATCCAGGTGTGGTGGTACGTGCCTATAATCCCAGCTCTCAGGAGGCCGAAAACAGGAGAATCACTCCGAGTAGGATCCTTGTCGTGAGAACCCTGGAGACATTGCACTAAATTAAAAAAAAAAAAAAAAAAAAAAAAAATGGACAAAAGAAAACAGCCTAACAGAAAAAGTCAAGGAAGACTGATTTAAAATGAAACAGTGGACAAAAGAATAAATGAAAAAATAATTTGCAACTAATGGTTTCATATCTATAGCTATTAAATTTCTCCTTCACCAGACATACATGTGAAATGTAAAGAAACAAAAATTTGAGCCCTACTTATTCTACTACAATTTCATTCCCAGCCCGTTTAGTCTTCTCTGCACAGGAGGAAAGACATCTAAACTGTACAGGGCACTTAAGGAGATGGAAGATCTACAGGGCAGTCTTGAGTCTGCTCATCAATGGGATAAAAAACACTATCTCGAAGAGCTTAATCTCTTGTCTTGGGGAGGGTAACTGAACCCAGGCCTCACAGGTGCTAAGTAGTGCTCTCCTACTAAGCTACACACAAAGCCCTAACCCCTCCTTTAAAACTTTCTTTGATTTGTTTTGTTTGGTTGAGACAGGGTCTCACTATATAATGCAGGCTGGCCTTGAACTCACTATGTAGCCCAGGCTGGCTTCCAACTCGCCACAATCCTAACTCAGCCGCCACAGTAGTGGGATTATGAGAGTCCACCACCACACCCAGGTGTAGCTTTCAATATGAGAGGAAAGAAGGGTGTTAGTTCACGTAGTGAGAAAATACAAGACAAAGCCTGAATACAGGCTTTTTTTCTAATTCTCATCATGGGTATTCTGAGTTAATTTTCAAGAGATAATAAATGAACTCTTCCTTAAGGTGACAGGTAAGCAAGGACCTCACCTCCTTTGGGTTTTCACTCAAATCTCAGCAAAGCTAAATCACTGTTTAAAAACTGGCAACGTGTTCACCTTCTTTCTGGCACACTTCCCTCCCCTTCCCCACCACACTTCTCTGCCTTCCATCTCCAAGTTTTCAGCTTAATAAGGCAGCGCGCTTTCTCATTCTGTGCGTCACTATGTCCCTCACACTTGGACAGTGGCTGCCATGGGCATGCACATCACTAAATCTAAGTGGGATACCTCATCCTCATAAAGCACCTTCCAAAACTAAACCCAGCGGTACTTACTTGCCACATATTTAGCTCTTTCACTGGAACAGGTTAAGTATTATTATTATTTTTGGGGGGGGGGGGTTACCAGGGATCAAACTCAGGACCTTATGCTTGCCGAGCAAGCACTTATTCCACTGCGCTATGGCCCCAACCCTTAAAAACCATTATTCTAACCAGAAATTTCCTACAGTCTGTCTTTGCAAGTAGAAGACTATATCACCTGTGAATATTTTACTATTTCATTATCTTTTGGTAATTTTTATCTAGAATAGTATCTAAAACAGAACTCCTATCTTCCTCCTCCACATAAACAACACCCATACACAGCTCTAACTACAGCATTTTTCATTCTGTATCTTTTTTTTTTCCAGAACCGGGGATTGAACTTCATTATCTTAATTAAGAATTATGTATTCTATAATCCTAGCGCTTGGGAGGCCCTGTAGACCCTCTAGACCCTAGCCTAAGTACAGAAGAAAAAAAAATTATGTATTCTAAATTCTCCTCCACCTTTTTTGTTTGTTTTTAAGCTTTATGTATTTAGTACAGGGTCTCATTCCTCAGCTTGGACTCACAGTGATCCTCCTGTTTCAGCCTCTACAGTGCTACAATTACAGGCATGTACCACCATGCCCGGTCTTGGTGGCTGACTCGTCTTGGTGGCAGACTGGTCTTGGCAGGCTCAGCAAGCCCGGGATGGGACCAGCAGGCATGGCATGCGGTACTGGGGATACCAGGGATCCAACCCGGGTCTTTGCACTTGCCCTGGCAGGTGTTTAGACCTGCTGAGCTACCTCTGAGGCCCTCCTCTACATTTTTGTTGTGGTTTGGTTTTGTCTTTTTGAGACAGGGTCTCACTAGGCAGTTCAGGCTGGCTTGGAGATTTGCAGCCCAGGCTGGTCTAGAACTTGCAACAATCCTCCAGCCTCTGCCTTCCCAATGGTGGGCTCACAGGCCTGTGTCACCACACCCAGCTTCCAAACAAGTTTTTAAAGGGTACGAATATACTCTGATAAACTTTGAATTCCCCACGTGAATAATGAATGGATACCCTACTTTTTACAATTCCTTGCCAATTACAAAGAATTTTCATGTATGAAAATGTATTTGGAAGGTTTGCAGTGCTGAGAATTAAACCCTGAGTCTTACAATGCTAGGTAAGTGTTCTGCTATCGAGCTACATCCCATCCATAATCTTCAAGTATAACACCCAGGTGAGGCAAGTGTCACAACTTTACAAATGAATAAAGAGACTCAGAGTCTCCTCTTTCTTCCTCAGGGCCACAGATGACTCAGTAAGGCTGATGACTAATTAATTAACTGGCTCTAAAAAGCACACTGTAAATGATGAAGCTCTATAATGAATGCATTTTCTTCGTATATGGAAACCGAGCATGATTTTCTAATTTTTAAATTTTAATATAAAAGCACACAGAAAGCAATACCATGCACACTTAAACCACTTCAATTAGAATAAATTTTACATTTGCTTATTATCCCTTCAAATTTTAAAAAATAGTAGGCTTAAAAATAAATTTCTGGGCTGGCCAGATAGCTCAACACAGTAAAGCGCCTGCTTAGGCAGAGCACAGAGGCCAGGGTTCAATCCCCAGTGTGCTATGCAGGCCCTTCCCCCAGGGCACGATGAGAGGGCAATCAAGACTGCATGGTGGTGCACTGTAATCCCAGCACTTGGGAGGCTGAAAACAGGAGGATCACTAGAGTCCAATCTATACAGTAAGATGAACATACATACATAAATTTCTTTGGAAAACACAAAACACAGGAATCTTAGCAATTACACTAAGTGTGTCAGTCAGTAAACCATCAGGCAATAACTGGAGTTCCAAGCACGGCTTACCAGATTCGTCTACATCTGCATCCTCATCCCACTGCTGAAAGGCGCGACTCTCGTCTTGCCTGCTCTTCACCCACTCCTCGTCAGGCTCAGTCTCAAGCTCTGAGGCCGGGCCACTATACCAATCCCCTACTCGGTGAATAAACAACAGGAGTTACTCAGTAAGATTAGAACATCTACTGTTACCAAAATAGCAAACATACTGATAAGAAAAATCACTACGCACAAAAGATGTCTTAGCCCAATGCAATGAAATAGCTATTTTTAGAAATACTTAATTGTATTTTTTTAAAAATTATACTTAAGTGAGCAAAGGATTCAAATCCAAATGTACCAAAAGGAACTATGGCTATGTGACTTCAGGTAACACTACTAATTAACTGAACAATAACTGATATTTTTCAAAGTAAATCTTACTCTGAAACGTCAGAAACAATTATAAAAACTTAGTCTGCTGCGATACCTGCTATGTATCTACTCTCTATGTAAGAAGTTTTTCAATTACACCTTTTATACAAATAAGCTTAATGTGTTACAATCCCTTTTGCTAAGAAAGACATTGATCAATAGCCTTACATGCAATTTTAAAAATCACTGAAGGGGCTAGTGAGATAGCTGAGCAGGCATAAGCGCCTGCCTGGCAAACACAAGGTCCCGAATTTGATCCCTGTACCGAAAAAAAAAAAAAAAAAATGGAGCATAAAAATCACTGAAAGCAACCCAAGCCTTTCCCCTACCGTGGCTTCACAGTGTCTTCAGCAATAGCCCCATTATGATGATAGCTAATAAACAAAACAAAGCATGACTTTCTACTCTGCAGTGAATCAACAATTCAGAAGAATGTGGGAGAAGTCAAAGGGAACGACTAAGGCAAAGTAAAAGCATAAATTTATAAATTCTAGAGATTAGACTGCAAGTAAATTATATGATATGATCATAAAGTGAAGCAACGAAGAATTAACTTAGCAAATTTTTAACATATCTAAGTCAGAGGTGCCCAACCTACGTAGCACTGACATTTTCACTGTTGTGGGAGACTGAGCTATGGTTGTAGGTCGACCAGCACAACTGTAATCTCTCTCCACTCTAACATCCAAGCAGGGAAAAAGCAAAACTGGCTCTAGATATTTTAATATCACATAGAAGAGGGTAAAGTCACTCAAAACAAATACCATTAAATAAGCAATAAACATTTTATTGAAACTTGTTGTTTACTCTTTTAGCTTCCGTCCAGTTGTCTCCCCAAAGCCTCATGCAGTCATGGGGGAGACTTCTAGAGGTTGTGATTAATTCATGATTGATGCTGGGATTATGGGTGCCGATGCTGATGGGATTATGGGTGTGAGAGCTACACCTCCCTGCAGCAGGTAGCCTGCATGCAGAACAGGCAAGGGGAAAGGCCTGCTCTTTGCCTCGGCTGCCACAACTGCTGCTTCTCCCGTAGCTCTTTGCCATTTTCTGCCACCATGAGCAGCTGCTCACTGCCATGAGCTCCTCCACCTTGGAGCCAGCCGAGTATGGACTGAAACTTCCTCTGTGAGCTAAATAATCCTTTGCGTCCTTGATTCTGGATGTTGGGTATTTTGTCCCAGCAATAAGAGAAAGGTAACCGAGATAGAACTACATATTAAAAACAAAACAAAACAAAAAAAAAAAAAAGAAAAGCATATTGAAGACTTGGGTGAGGCTGGGGAGATGGCTCAGTAGAATAAGCACTTCCTTGGCAAGCACAAGGGCCTGAGTTCAATCCCCGGAATAAATAAATAAACAAATAAATAAATAAATGAATGATTTGGGTGGCTTTATAAAAGTTAGCACAGGATAACAGCATTTGAGAACATCTAATCTTCTAGTTACATATTTTTAACTCTTAGAAACACTTTAGCAAAAGTATTTTTATTTTATGCTTGTATTTTTCTTTTTATTAATTTAGTAAAAGTAGTTGATACACCCATATCTGTCCTTTTACTAAACATCCCATTATCCTATTAAAATTAATCCACTTAAAAATAATAATTCCAGGGGCTGGAGAGATGGCTCAGTGGTCTAAAGCACCTACTTAGAACAAGCTTGGCAAGGCATCAGGGACCGCGGTTCAATCCCCCAGCACCACATGCCAGCCGGCCCTGCCCCCTGGTGGGCTGAGCTGGCCACACACACACCACACACTCTCTCTCTCTCTCTCTCTCTCTCTCTCTCTCTCTCAAATAATAAATAAAAAAATAAAAAATTTTAAAAAAAATAAAAATAAAAATAATAATTCCAAAAGCTGGGAATACAGCTCAGCAGCACAAGTACCACCTGTCTGGCAAGGCTGAAATCCTGAGTTCAATTCCAGGTACCAAAAAAATAAATAAATAGATAACAATAATAATCATTTAAATTATGTAATTCAACTCTAATACTCCAAATAGCTTCACTCAAGAAACATTAAGCATCTACAACCTATTTGAAAAGCACTGCAAGCGGATGGCGACATGCACCTGTGGTCCCAGCTGCAGGGGACACTGAATAAGGTGGGTAACAGGGTATGGGCCAGGCTGGACAACATCAGGAGACTGCCTCTCTCAAAAACAAACACAACAGACCCCTGCGTATTATTCTAACCAACTTGTTTTTAAGACTTACAATTTAGCCGGAGAAAATGAAGTGAGATATTCCTACTGGCATGTTAAAGTCACACAGCCACACATAAAAGAAACTTATTTTAAAAGTTAAAACCAATTTTGAGGTAATACTCACCCAAAAGTGCTTTAATTCAGTGACAGATGTACACCTTACTATTTGCACTTATCCCACAAGTACCTTTTATCTTCATAAAAATTTTTACCTGCTCACATGTGATGAGTGAGACTACAACTACAAATGAGCATGAGACTACAACTCAGAGAATCAGGACTACTGACTGCTCCCAAAGCAAACTATGCTAAAGAGAAAACAGGGCCATTATTTTGAGCCACCAACAAAACGGAGCCATAATGGTGCCTCATCTTTCATTCCACAGAATTTATTCTATATTTTTAAATACCCAAGCTAAGTACATAAACAGCTGTGAAAATTCACATTTTACTTTTGATTATGAAAAACTTTAAACACAGCCCAATGCTGAAACAATTATTATAATGGGGTAGGGGATACAGTTCAGTAACACAGGCATCTACCCACCCCCCAAAAAAAAAAAGAACTACTCTAATGAATCCCATGTATCTATCATCTATCTTTAATAATTGTAGGTATCTTTCCAATTTTTAAATTCCTTCTTCCAACTGTCTTTCTTTTCTTACTATTTTGAAGGCAACAGCAGACATCATGTAACGCACACGGCCACTTTAGCACTGCTATCTTTTCTGAACTACATGTAAGTATGAAATGCACTGGTGGGCAATGATCAAGAGTTTCCCTCCCTAGCCCTACTTATCTATGACTTGTGAGTACTCATCTAGAAAAATGTACCAGATATATGTTTTAAGCAAAGAAAAAATCCCATTACCTACCTCTGGCCCAATGTACAGGGTAAAGATGTTTCCAAAGGGATCCAGTTTTTGCCAGCTGAGACCATTTGGTGCTGACTTGACTGCACCGACATAATTCTTGAGGGTTAAGGTAACTGAAAATTGACAGCATTACCTCAGGTGGAAGGTGGGTTATAGCTGTAGAGTGCTCTGCCACTTCTGCTTCTGAAATTTAAAAAAGAGAAAATCTTTAGTACAAAAAGCTGTAAGAGTAAATGCAATAAGAAATTAAAATTACACTTGTATAAGCAAAATACAGTGCCTGATGTTAATTCCTTCCTGCTTGTAAGACATGAAAAGGAAGTAACACCTAGCAGAGGTAACATGGGGATGTTAAGCTTGCGAAGAACCCGTAGTTAAACTATCATGGCCCAGATCACACTTCATCAGTGAGAGCTACAAATGAACACAGCTGACTTCCTCTTACGAAGACATCACAGAAAAAACAATACTCACTTTGTAGCATAAGTAGCATCATTCGAAAAAGGAACCCAACAGGTTATACAGCTTTAAATCAACAATAATAGTCAGCCAGATTACGAGATCTACAAGGCATTTTTAATGACACACACTCTTACATTTTGTATTCACACATCATGACTCCTGCCAGTACCTTCCTTGTGTTCCCACTTCAATTTTCATATTTCAAATAGAAAAAATCTATTGAAATGATTTCATAAACTTACAGTTGTCTTGACCTTCTTAACTTATTTATGTTCCAGTAGAGAAAATATAATGTAACTCTGATACTTGTATACACTGATAAGGAATCTTCTACTAGAACCTATTATTGGATGCAAGTCTATTATTTTTTCTTTCCTTTTTTTTTTTTTTTTTTTTTTTTTTTTTTTTTTTTTTTTTTTTGGCGGTACCAGGGATTGAACTCAGGACCCTACACTTGCCAGGCAAGCACTTATTCTACTGAGTTATCTCCCCGGCCCCTAAGTCTATTATTTTAGGAGGAATTTTCTAAAAGAAAAATGAAAATGAGGCTATTACAATAAAGAATATAAAATGCCAAAGATTTATCACTGAAATACTATGAAAAATTTGAACAACATACGTATCCAAGTTATCTTTACAAATTAAACATAGAAATGTTATGATCAAATTAATCTGCAACATTTTTTAAATGTAAACTGTCTTAAACATAATGCAGAATAACCTGCTTTGAAGAAGTGGGAAAATTAAATACAGTAAGTGCGATGCTTTTAAGTCTCAAGTTATAACTACAATTAAACCAGACACAACAGGTTTTAGCTTGGTATCTATGGCATTAGCTGCATCACACAGGAAAGCTTACAAGTTTTATGGGTTTAATCATAGCTTAACTTATAAATCATTTTTGTTTCAACATGAATCTCACCTACTTGGCTAAATAAAATAAGAAAACAACCAGTTTTTTAAAAATGAGACTATTTCAACAGGAATGATATTGCTATTGCCCATCTAGCAGCACAAGAGTTTTATTAACCTAATGATGCCAACTGTTTATTGAATGGGGTTTTAAGAGAAAAAGCCATTAAACGACAAATAGAACAACTAAGGAACAAGTAACCCATTAAGAAGAAAGCCTGTCTTACCTGTATTTCTTACTTGTATTCTCAAAGTGCACATAAAAACGCTGCCTCTCCTGCACTGCCCTGAGGATCACCAAGTACAAACTAAGAGTGCTAAGTAGGAAAGGATGGGAGTAATGACTGATGCTCCCTGACTTACACCAGGCCAACGTCCCAAAAGATGTGTGGGTTTTTGGTTTTGTTTTGTTGTTTTGGTAAACTTATGACTTTTGTTTGTACTACCACTGAGGAGACTGTACACTCTACTGTGCATCCAGCACTGTCATGCAGTTGAGGGAAGCAGGGATTCCTCACTGTGAGTGCTGGGAAAATGCTGGCACTGCATTCACATGGGGAGAGTGTGAGGGTTTTGTTTTTTGAATTTTTTCGGACTGAAAAATTAAAATAAATTCTACTATCAGAAAAAAAGAAAACAGAAAAAGAAACTACCCAACAGCAAAAGTGACTTAATACACCAAAGCCACTATGCGACAGAGTGCGGCACCACAATGCACTGTAGAGCTCCGCTTCCTTCCTCTGTGACCAAAGGGCTGGCCGGGCGCAGGACGCACCACACAGCTCACACCTGGCCCAGAAAAAGGTGCTATTCGAGGAGTTATGGTGCATTAGCCACTTTCACACAATGGTAAAGTCAAAACACTTTAAGTTGAACCAGTAAGTTAGGAACCATCACTTTGAAAACGTACGGAAAGATAAAAGCAGTCACTGTAGAGAATGGCGCTCAGAACGTCTGATGATATTGCAAACATGCTCTGTACATGGTACTCCCAACTCTGACTGGGTCAAGTAGTAATTATGAAGGTACTATATAAATTTATCCAAGAAATACTGTATTACATATTGTCCTAGCACATCCTAAAGTAGTATAAGTACTAAATTTTAAAACAGAACCTACTACTTCCAATTACATTTTCTGTTTCTTTAGTTTTTTGAAGCAGTCTCACTTTATACTTCAGGCTAGCCTCAAAATCAAGAAGATCCTCCTGCCTCAGCTGCTTGAGTGCAGGAATCAGACACAGCGTACCACCACATCCAGTATTCCAATTACATTTACAAGTGGAAATAAATAGCTTTTAACTGACTTAAATTACTTCTCAAACAGGGCCGGGCTGATAGCTCAGCGGACTAAAGCACCTGCTTAGGCAGAGCACAGCAGCTGGGGTTCAATCCCCAGCACGCTATGCTGGCCCAAACCTTGGAGCCCACTGAGAGGGCAACTGAGACTGGGCGTGGTGGCGTGAGCCTATAATCCAGCACTTGGGACGCTGAAAACAAGAGAATCTCTGCAAGTCAGATCTGCATTATGAGACCCTGCAGATCCTCTCCTAAATACAGAGAAAGAAAAAAAAAATTACTCCTCAAATAAAATCTAAAAATTCTAATGGCAATGGTCTTAAAATAATAAATTATTCTCTAAATACAGCCTCTCACCTGTATCCGATTTTTCATCCATAGAATATTTAAAAAACTTCTGCCGTTCTTCAGCTTGATTCCATAGGCTAAGACCCCTAAGGAGTTCCGCAGTATCCTTCTGAGAGCAATGCTGTGCAATCACTTTCTTCTTAATGTCCTTAAGCTCTTCATAGGTAAAATACTCCATTAACATGGGCTGAAAAACCTAAAATAAAAAAGATATTTCAAGGAAAGATACTTAGTTTCATTCTACTGTCTACACTTTTAACAGTTAAAGGCTCAGGTGTAATATTATGACCGAGTATGTCAAACAGATACAAAGTCTCATTATTACCATTAAGTTTATCCAAACCAGCAAAGAATTTGATCCCCAAAAATCCCTTTCAGTGGTTTCCCCAACCAACAAATCAGGACCTGAAAATTATAAAGCATCAGGCCAAGGTTTTCCTTTACAAAATTTGTACCACAGGCCCTTCCTCCTATGAGAAGGATACCCAGCACTAGGAACAGAAGTCACAAGTCCATTGGGACTTTGGACTACTCATTACTGCTGCTGAACTCCCGGAGATGCAGCCTCAGACCAGCATTTTAGTGCACTGGCTCCTGAGAATCATCCACTGGAGTTCTTCTGCAAAACCAATGGTTAAAGCCACCCTCCAATTTATAAGTTTTATAGACACAACAAAAGTTTTGGTGGTTGTTGTTTCCCAGATAACTGGAATGCACATTACAGGTTAGAAAAACACCACTCGAGACAGATATGGTGGTGCACACCTGTAATGCGCACAACCTGGGAGGCTAAGGTGGGAGAGCTACGCACTCAAGACCAGCATCAGCAACCTAACAAGAACCCACTTCAATAAAACAAACAGCTGAAACACAAGAATGCTGCTCAAGAGATGATTTCCATGCTTACTGCATGCACCGCACTGCAGTGAGCAGGGGAGACTTGAAAAGTGACCATGTCCACTCCTCCAGCAACTGCACTGGCTCCGAAAGGGCTTATGTGTGTGTGTTCATGTTTTGAGCCCTGGGGGTTCATACAGCTACAGCCCAGCCACGTTCCTACTTTACCATGAGACACGATACTACTGCAAATTCACTTTAAGTTTTCCAGGCGAGGCTCAAACTTGTGATCCTCCTGGCTCAGCAACCCTGAATGCCTGCACCTGTCTGGTTTTTTAATTTACCAATTTTGATTATATAAGGTAAAACCATAGTTGAAAATCACTACAGGGGCTGGTGAGATGGCTCAGTGGTCTAAAGCACGTACTTAGAACAAGCTTAGCAAAGCACAGGGACCACGGTTCAATCCCCCAGCACCACATGCCAGCCAGCCCTGCCCCCTGGTGGGCTGAGCTGGCCACACACACACACACACACACAAATAAATAAAAATTTATTAAAAAAAAAAATCACTACAACAGCAAAAAAAAAATTAACCATTTCCTCATAAAATATTTTGTATCTTACCATAATTTCCATCCCATAGCAGAGAAAGAGGAACTATTTTTCCATCAATGATACCCTAATATATATATATATATATATATATATATATATATATACATTTGACAGAAGACTTGATAAATTGAAAACTATAATATTATTCCTCAACTCCACTACTCAAAAATGCAGTAAGTAATCTTTAAATTTAGAATATGAGTATCTTAAAATTTACATGAGGCTCAACGGATTCTAAAAAGATATTAGGGGACAAAAAAACTTATTAATATGTAACAGTGCAACCTACACACAAAGATACACATTATTTCATAAAAGGAGACCAAATCCATTCACTAAAGGCAACAACCTTTCTAAGAAAATAAAACCAGTATCACTTTTTCCCCTGCGATTTGTCTTCAGTTACCACAAGGAGCTGAAGGCTTCTCTCCTTTAACCAGACTTACCATTCTATGCATTAGTTGAAAAATCCAAAGCAAAATGCTACTATAAAAATTTTATAAATCCAAATCATAATGGGGAAAAATTGGACTTACTTCTTCTTCCTCTTTCATGTGTGGAAGAAAATCTCTTGTAAAAGCCTCCAGTCTCTCTTTCAGCTGTTTTGCATAATTTAACTGCTCATATTCATTCTGGAAACAAAAAATAATGTATTGTCAAAAAAATTTTGCTTCATTATTTATATTGTACCTAGTTCCCAGGAAGTTGTAAAATGTGACATGAAACCTTGGAGGGGGGGATAACAAATCCAAAGTGATGTCCCTGCTTTCAGTACAAAAGACACAGGATTAAACACAGTAGCCAGGTGAAGCCCACAATCCCAGCACTCAGCACTTGGGAGGCTGAGGCAGGAGGTTTGCGGCTAGTTGAGGCCAGACCAGGGTAGGTATACAGTGAGTGCAAGGCCAGCCTGCACTGCATAACCAGAACCTGTTCTGTCTCCAAAAACACAGCAAACCAAAAAAAAAAAAAAAAGAGAGAGAGAGAGAGAGAGAGAGAGAATTAAATATGGCATAATTGGACCAACAGCAAACTCAGCCTGTCCACAACCTGGAATTAAAACACCTGGACACCTAGAAAACTTGGCAAAGAGAAAAACAGTGTATTTCCAGGAGTTGGGAGAGAGCCGGCAGGAAAACTAGAACCACAAAAGCTACAGAAACAAAGCACAAAGAAAAGTCTGCAGAGCTCCTCAGCCTCCCAGGGCGGAAGGCAAGTGTCCACTGACACAAGGTGCCCTGGAGAGGGTTGGGGCCCCAGGAAGAACACAGAGCAAGCTGGCAGCACTGGCCACAAAAAAAGCCCGTAATTACTGGAAACTGTAGAAACAGGCCGGGGTTTAGCTTTTAAAGTATTTCCTGCCTGGGTGTGGTGTCATAGTGACTGCCATACACTTGAGGTCAGCCTGAACACAGTGAGTTCAAGGCCATCCTGAACTGCACAGCAAGAACTTGTCTCAAAAACAAAAAAAAGGTGGAAAAAAAGTTATTTCTTCTCCAGAGCAGTATGGAGTCAAGAGAAAAAATCCAGAGCACATTTGAGAGGATTTAATCAGAAGCCACTTTGAAAGGAGTTGATTATTAAAGATGACCTACTGAACAACCCTGCTTCAGGGTTTGTGATGTCACCACAGCAAGGAGGAAGGTCAGAAGAGATAGTGGCAGAGGGGATGCAGGCTAGACAGAGACACCACTGAGAACTTTAAGTTCAGTCTGGAAGAGCATCCGGACTAGCACCAGCAGACAGAAGCCAGAGCAGGCATGCAGGACTTTCAGAGAGGCCTGGGTCTGAAAGTGCTGGCACCAGGTACAGCAGTCGGCTAGAAGCCCTGCCCTGCTGCCCACATCCAGCACAGAACTCACTGATCTATTTGGGTTCCCCACCTGCCAACATGAACATAACCCTGGCTTGATGGTTACCACAGCCCGGGGTACATGGACAGAGCGAAAATGGCAACAAGGGGGGCACCTCAGAAACCCACAGTAAGGCAGACAGAGAAAGCTGTGACTCGGTAGGCACCAAGGGGCATGGAAAGGAAAGCTGCGGACTGACAGAGCCTCATGCGGGCACCCCTGACTGCCCGTGCCAGGGAGCAAAGATGGGGCAGGATTCCAAATTCACAAACCATCAGTGTGGAATAAAAACAGGTCACCATCCCTCCCTCCTGTCTATGGATTCCAGCAGTGTATAGATCCTGGAAAGAGTGCAGTCTTTCAAAAACATGCAGCAATTTGGACACTTATTTTTTTTTTTTTAATTTTATTTATTTATGAGAGAGAGAGAGAGAGAGAGAGAGAGAGAGAGAGAGAGAGAGGCACAGCCCACCAGGGGGCAGGGCTGGCTGGCATGTGGTGCTGGGGGATTGAACCGCGGTCCCTGATGCTTTTGCTAAGCTTGTTCTAAGTAGGTGCTTTAGACCACTGAGCCATCTCTCCAGCCCTGGACACTTATTTTTAATTTTTTCTCTTGGTACTTCAGGATATGGTTCTTTTGCTTTTCTGTTTTGTTTTTTTTTTTCTTTTTCTTTTTTGTTATTTTCATTTCACTGCTTTTCCTTTGTATTTCTTTACTGATACCTTTATCTAATTCTATTGATTTTCTTTCATGTTTAATAGAATATTTTATCTCACTTTTCTGACTTTCTTATCCTAATTTTCAAAATTCTTGCATTCTACCACTGCAACAGAATATACCCTTCAGTTGTATAGCCATTTTTTTTTTTTTTTTATGAGCAGAATATATTTATTGAGAGAAAGAAAGCTCCTGTCTAAAAGAGGGACAGGAGGGGGGCCCGAGCAGGTAGTTCCCCCTGTATAACCATTTTTTTGGTTAATTTTATTGAGAAACAAATAGCAATGAGACAGTTTCAAAACTGATTAGTAGGACAGTTTCAATAATTAATACATTGCATATTGTTGTCTTCCTAGTGGTTACTCATAGTACAAGATGCAGACATGATATCCTGTCCAAACACTATTAGTACAAATTTTTCTTCTCATTAAGAGAAAGTAGCTTTATATCTATCCTATTTTGTATATACAGATACAAAATGGTCCTTCATTTGTATCCCTTTTGTTTAGTTTTGTCAGACACTTGTATAATCATTAAGCTTTATTAATAATTAAGATATTAAGTTTAATAGTTATGCTGTTAAAAAGTTATGCTGTTATTCAATTCTTTCCTATTTTAATAACACAATTACTGCATTTAGCAGATATTAATTATGTGTCAATATTTAGTTCGTCTTTGTGTCTGTGGATCTGTGGATCACATAGACTGTGTTATTACAATCTTTTTTCTTCAGACCCTTTGGTTTTTTGAGACAGGGTCTAACTATGTAGTGAACGGCTGACCTTGAACTCATTGCCCTACCCCACTCTACTGCTCTCATACCTCTTGATAAAGTCTTACTAGATCCTTAACAAAGAACATTTTTAACATAATAGCATTTATTACAGATTGTTAACAAGTTTTGCCAGTGACATAACCAAATGCTCAAGTTGCGATACTTACATACCAATTTCTGTAACTCACCTTAACATTCTTCAGTCCCTTTTCGAAGAGGCTGAGCATCTCAGAGAGTTTATTGTCAGAATGCACATTATAAATGGTCTGGCTGCGCTGCTGAAGTAAGCCAATAATGTACTCATTTTCAATCTGCTCATGCATTTTGAACTCTTTGAAAGTAGCATACAAAGATTGCAGAAGAGCACGGAAATCGTTGTTGTTGGAAAAGTTGGTTTTAGAAAGCTGAATAAAATGGTAAAAAGCAAGACACAATAAATACACAAAAGACATGTAACGATATTCAAATAAATTCCTACTTAATAGCAAGGTATTTTCCTTATACTTGGTATAGCTCAGCAGTCTAAGCACCTGCCTGGCAAGCACAAGGACCTGGGTTCCATCCCCAGTACCACATCCTGTGCCAGCCCTGTGCCGAGCCTCCACCAAAACGGGCGTGATGGTGCACTCCTACAATCCCAGTGCTGGGGAAGTTGAGACAGGAGGATCACTACTACTCTGAGCTGTTAGCAAGACCCTGTAGCAAATTAATACATCAATAAAAGATTTTTTTTAATATAAGTAAAGGAAATTCATTTATAGTGGTATAACTAAAAACTATACAAGGCTAGAAAGACGTTGCTTTGGACTGATCCACTCAGGAGGCTGAAGCAGGAGGATGCTGCAAGTTTGAGGGCAGCCTGAGTTACACAGTGAGTTCAAAGCCAGCCTGGACTACGTAGTGAGACTGTCTCAAAATTAAGAAAATAACTATAAAATACTGACTTATTAGAATATTGCTGAAGAAAAATGATGCACATATCTGTTTCTTTCAGTAAAAAGGATTCCATCCAGTTCCTTCCAAACTACAAATTTTATTATCATATAAATAAAATAATTAGCAGGTATACAGGGAGATGTATACAGGTATTCACGTTAAAAGGGTCATTTTAAGAAAATAAAATGCTTTCTTCTTTCAAAATGCTCTTTTATTTTAATAAAATTTCACTTTTTTCTTTTCCTTTTTTTAATTTTTGCTCATGTTGAGATATGGTCTTGCTAAGCTGTTCAGACTGGCTTTGAATTCACTTTGTAGCTCAAGCTGGTCTTGAACTCACAGCAATCTGCCTGCCTGGGCCTCCAATCTGCCTGTGCTGGGATTACAGGTGTGCACCACCATGCCAGGTTTCTTTTTTGCCTTTTTGAGATAGGGTCTCACTAAATTTCAATTTAAAAATTGAAAAATATTCTATATGGTTTCTTTAAACTCTAATATCGACAGGAAACTGATCTGTTCAGAAAATAATTATAACTAGGTAAGGAGGTACGTGCCTGTAATGCTAGCACGTGGAAGGCTGAGGCAGAAGGACGCTGCAAGTCTCAGGCCAGACGAGGCTACCTAGTAACTTCTCAGCAAGCCTGAGCTACATGGTGAGACTCTGTCTCAAAATTAAGAAACGTAAATAATTATAAAATACTGATTCATTAGAGTATTGGTGAATAATCCAGGGAAGTAAGTTTTTCTTTTTTTATTTTTATTTTTTTTAAGTTTGTTTTTCAAGAAAGCTGGCATAAAATAAAAAAAGAAAACTGACATAAACCCTTCACAACTTATGAAAACTCAAGACACTAGACAATGAAAATGTAGACCCACTTGCAGAAAAGACACAGATCAAAAGAAAGATCGTTTTCTTTAATTCTAACATTCAACAAAAGAGAAATGCTCATTCTCAATGTAATTCTAACTTTTATACTCAAATATTTAAAAAATACATATGACCAAGAAACTTCCTTTAAGTTAAAGTGTAAAGTAATATTCAAACTCTCCAGTGTCTGTATTTAACCTACATTCTATTTTATCAATTCTAGTTTCAAAACTCATTTTAAAAGGTGGAACATAATTAAATACAATAGATAAGTAAACAAAACAAAAATTATTAACACTGTATTTCCCAGCCTTGCTTTCTAAAGCCTGATACACAGTATTCCTAAAATACAGCACAATCCAACTTGTCTTACTGCTTGTTCTTGGCAGAACTGATGTCTGATGACAGCATTAAAAAAAGATACACAAACTTTTAAAGCAAATTATTCCATTATACATAATAAAACTATCTTTCTCAAGAAAGGAGAATGAGAACAGGGTCACAATTTGTAGTTCAGACTGGCCTTGAACTCACAGCAAACCTCCTCCCTGCTCAGCCTCCTGAACACCGGGACTACTGGCATGCACCACCACACAGGGAAGAACTAAATATCCTCTATAAAAGACAGTGTGAATCAGGCATGCTGGCACATGCCTGTAATTCTGGCATTCTAGGAAGCTAAGCAGGAGGTAGGTGCTATTATAAATTCAGTTTAGTCTAGTCAATTTAGCAACTCATTGATCTTTTTGTCTTTTGGTCTCTGAAACAGGATCTCACTATGTAGCTCAGGCTGGCCTATCAACTATGTAGCCCAGGCTGGCCTCAAACCTGTGGCCTTCCTCCTGCCTCCGCCTCCCCAGTGCTGGAGCTGAAGCGCACCACCACACTTCGCTCAGCAGCTCACTGAGGCACTGTCCCATAATGAAAAAATGGTCAGAAAGTGCTCAGGATAAAGGCCCTGGATAATATCCACCAGTGAAAAAAACAAAAAAGCAGGAGAGACCAGGCATTAAGCCAGAGACCCCATCCTAAAATCAGATTTCCAAGGGTCAGATGCCAGATTTACCACGTATTTAATTATGTAACCTTGGTTAATTTCCTTTTCAATATCTCAGGTTTATCCCACTGTTAAATGTGAATTACAAACCTGTACTTCATATGATGCATTTAAGTGTTAGCTATATTTTGAAATTTAAACATTCAATTTTATAAACTAATGAACTTTATTTGAATATTTACTGAGAAGCTAGTGTGTAGGATACATAAATGCATGAACAAAAGAAAGAGCTTTATCTTTATGCAGTTCACATTCTACTGAAAGAAAATAAAACAATGACTAGTCCAGCACAATGCACAAGGTGCAGATAGTAAACATCGTAACATTTTGGTGTGTATGAGCTGTAATAACTATTTACATCAGTTGGAGTAGTACAAAGGTAACCACGGACAACAAGCAAGTAAATGCTGTGGCTGTATTTCCACACAACTTTAGATTTAAAGACACAAATTTGATGGGGCTGGTGAGATGGCTCAGTGGTCTAAAGCACCTACTTAGAACAAGCTTAGCAAAGCACAGGGACCATGGTTCAATCCCCAGCACCACATGTCAGCCAGCCCTGCCCCCTGGTGGGCTGAGCTGGCCACACACACACACACACACACACACACACACACACATAAATAAAATTTAAAAAAAGACACAAATTTGAAATTTCATAGAATTCTCACGCATCACAAAATACTCTTGATTTTTTCCAACAATGTAACAATGCAAAAACAACTCCTACTTCTTCAACCATTTAAAAACAATAGGCCTTATTGAAACTGTCCTACCAATTTGATTTGAAACTGTCTCACTGCTATTTGTTTCTCGAGAAAATTATGGAAAAAAATTTTAAAATAAAAAATATAAAAAATAAATAAATAAAGACAATAGGCCAGGTCAATTTGATTAAACCCACATTACAGATTTTAAGGATTATAACAAATGGCACGTAAGATTAAAACAAAATTCGTTAGCTGGTAGTTGTTACAATTATCATCAGTATCATTCCACTTAAAACCCTCAGAATGGGGGCCGGGGAGATGGCTCAGTGGAGTAAGCGCTTCCCTGGCAAGTGCAAGGGCCTGAGTTCAATCCCTGGTTCCACCAAAAAAAAAACCAAAAAACCTCAAAATAGTCTCAGTAAATCTATGACATATACCAAAGAATTAATAATACATATAAATGGCAATAAAGTAAACAATGTACTCATGTGAATTAAGGAAGATAACATCTTAAAATATGCCTGGCAGGGCTTGGTGGGGCAGACCAGCACTGAGCAGAAGGCAGAAGGATCGAAAGGAGTTCAAAGCTAGCCTACTAGGGCTGGAGAGATGGCTCAGTGGTCTAAAGCACCTACTTAGAACTACTTCAAACAAGCTTAGCAAAGCATCAGGACCGCGGTTCAAACCCCCAGCACCACATGCCAGCCCGCCCTGCCCCCTGGTGGGCTGAGCTGGCCACGCACGCGCTCTCTCTCTCTCTCTCTCTCTCTCTCTAAAAAGTAAAAATAAAAAAAAAAAAAAAAAACAAAGCTAGCCTACTACACACAGTAAATTCCTGTCTCAAAAAAGAAAAACAAGACATACCTGAAATTTTATATATCCTTCAACTGGTAATTAGAAATTATTTTAGATTCCAGAACAGCCTATGGCAAAGCTCTGTTCCACAGTGTAAACTGAGAAGCAAATCAATTAAATAAAAAAACTCTCCCTAGAAGGCTGAGGCAGGACAGTGCCAAGTTCCAAGGTCAGCTTGGTCCACAGAGCAAACTCAAAGCCTCAAGGCTGGTGTGCAATATGCGGCAAAGCCTTGTCTCAATAAACAAAAAACAAAAACATGGCCTGGCATGCTGCCGCTGGCCCCGCCCCTGGGGCATGCTGAGATGGCATGGTGGCGTGCCTGTAATCCCAGCTCTTGGGAGGCTGTAAACAGGCAGATCACTATGAGTCCGATCTAGAAGTGAGACCCTGAACACCCTGTAGATCCTTCCCTAAAAAATACAAAAAAAAAAGAGGGGGGGGAATAGCTCAGTAGAATAAGAGCTTACCTGGCAAGCACAAGGGCCTGAGTGCAATCCCCAATCCAAAAACAAAACCCTTTGTCTTATAAAATGAATTCAGCACTCCAGCTAAAAGCATGAACTCTGGAGCCAGCTGGTGAACAGACTCTTCCAGCACCAGTCGCCACCATCCCCCCTCTCAGCTTCTCCACCCTAAAAACAGAGCTAATAATATGAACCACTACCACAGGCCGTTGTGATGATCAGCTGATACTGTCAAAGAACAGAGACTGCACCATCAATGAGCCCTCCTTAGGATTTGCCATTATGGTTTCCATAGTTAAACTGAAACAAAACTATCACTAGAAGTCCTTCAAAAATAGCAATGCAAATAAATAAATAAAAAGTGATGCCATTGTGGAAAACAGTACAGAAGGTCTTCAAAAACTTTCTTTTTTTGCAGAACCGGGGATTGAACTCAGGCTCTTGCGCTTGCCAGAGAAGCACTTACCCACTGAGCCATCTCCCCGGCCCCTTCAAAAACATTTAAAAAGAA